TACATAACAAGATGGGCGGATTCCAGAGTCAAGGTGGCAGCCTAACCTTGGTCATCTCTGAGCTGGCTTAACTGTAGGTGTCTTGGAGCCTTTCTACAGGGGAATAATCTGTGATCCTTATCAGAAGGGAGTGGGCTGTACTTAGGGTGAGATGTTCTGATGGCTTTTGATGGCAGATAACCTTTAGGCAGATAGCTTTTAACCTTCAAGTGTGTAGTGAGCAACCATGGAACGACCATGTGTTTGCAAAGAGCACCTTAACTTTGGCCTTATGATGGGGGAATATTGAGGATGACTTTTACTTTGGCGAATGTGACTGGAACACATCTCCAACTTCCAAACGTGAAGGTGCCCCCTCCATCCACCCATTCTAGTGTTTTCGTGAGGCGTGGTATCTGAGAGACATGACTACCTCAGAGCATCGCTTGTGAGCCAAGGGTGTGCGATTAACTGAAGGCTCTCTCCTCCGCCCAGCTGGACACAGTATTCTTGTCAAAACCCATTTTTCCTTGGACCTTCTACATGGATTTTCAAGGCTGTGTGTAAAGTTAAAATCTTGCCATTCGAAAGGCAGTAGAGCCAACCCAGAGCGTTCACTGAGGCCCGAGACAGATGGCAGCCCTATAAAAAGATGGTGTGTATTTTTGGAAGTGCAAACAGCAAAACATACTCTTAAAAATTCCAGAGTGATCTTTGCCTAGAAAACGCAGGGAAGCGATAAAGGACCATACGGCCCAATGGAACGTTTCCTAGTTCATATGTCTGGGATGTCTTTCTTCTCACGGTGGACCTGTGTGAGCCCCTACTCCACAACGAGGCTGCCTTGGTCTTCTGCGCCTCGCAAGCCTTTGTGCTTTGGTGGGGGCAGCCTGGCCACTTCTCTATCTATGGCTCGTCTCATGGGAAATATTTGCACCTCTGTCTCCAGCACACTTCCATGTTACACAGACTCCGGCTCTGACAGGATGTACTGTGTTTGTATTGTGTTAGAGTGGCACCATCATTGAGAAAAGGAACGGCTTACCGAGTAGATAGTCGCTGGATGTTTTGTGTGGCACAAACCATCCATGTGCCAGCTGTTGATGGCAGGATTGGAGGTTAGAGTCCCCCAGAGGTACCTTGGAAGAAAGTTCAGACAAGTCTTTTCCCACAAACAGAACAACCAGCCACTGAAAATCCTACAGAGGCCAGTTCTACCCTGACACCACACACACCACACACACACACACACACACACACACACACACACACACACACGGGTTGGGGTTCCAAGAGTCGGAGATGAGCACCAAGTACTAGTCTGTGGCTGTAGATCTCTGGCTTGCTGTGTCCTGTGTGCATGTGACAGTGGGCCGCAGAACCATTTGAGCCCCAAACCTCTTGACCTTGCCTGATGTAAATGTGCACGCTGGCCACCTGAGATGTGGTAACGGGTACTGCTGTCAGGGTGGCTGTGGACACTGGCATCGAATGCCTAGCCTCATTTCGTGCGATGCATCTGCGTGTTCAGAACACAGTGGGCAAGGTCCTCACACCCTTCAGGCGGGCCCAGGCAGGGCACTCCCTTTGATTCCAGCTCTTCCCACCCTCATCATCAAGACCCTAGCAAGGGGCGCTGTCGGGTAGATGTTGGGCTACTAACCTTTGGGTCCACAGTTCAGACCCTCCAGCCGCTCCAAAGGAGAAAGAGGAGGCCGTCTGCTCCCATAAAGAAGGCTCTAGCAGGGGACAGATCCTAGCTCTAGGAAACTATCCTATAGGTCGCTGTGAGTCAGAATCAGCTAGTGGCTGTGGGTTTGGGGGTGGGTCCTTGCTGTTATTCCACGGGTCTGCTGATTTCATTCATTGACCTGTCACTGTGAGCCGGAGTTCTCCTTCACCTGGGTCAGGAGTCACTCAGCACATCTTCCACGAGTGCCTCTGTTCAGAGGTACTTGCTAAAAACCCAAAGCCAAGCCTTCTTATCCTAGGCCTGCTGACAACCAAGGCTTCTAACTCCCGGTGTGAGTTGATGCCCCTCCTTTGTGAGACACACGACACTCTTTACTGATAAGCCAGACAGCGGACTCTTCACTCAGGGAGGGTTGTGCACCTGCAGGTTGCCACCTTCCACCTGTGAAGACAGACACACGGGACTTCTCCCAGGCCTTCAGCTTCTGCCCCACGAGCAGTAGGTGGCACCTCAAGGGCTTGTCTTAGCTGCACAAAAGACCAGCCTCAGACCCTGTTCCTACACTGGGGTATTGAGGCTAGGCATTCGATGCCAGAGTTCAAGTGTTGTTAGGTGTGATGTCGCTGCCTGTCTAAGACACCTGTCCTTGCCTCTGGGACATAAAGATTGTCTGTTACTCTTCATATATAGGTAGATCTTTCTACCTGGGATCAGTCTTTGCTGATGGTGTGCGTCAGCAGCGGCAGCTACATCTTTTTTCCCCCCACAGGTGTGCAACCATGGTCTTGGGACGGGCTTATCTGTTCAGTCAGGCTCTGCCCGAGTCGCATGTCTGCCCCTCTGTCACACGCAAGGTTCCAGCTAGTTACACACACACTGCTCCGAGGGGTCCTGCGGCTTCTTTATTTGCCAGATTTCTGTGAGTTTTTCCATGGTCTCTCAGGGAGCTTCAAAAAACTCACGGGAAAAGTCCCATGAGTTTTCCATTTTTTTCCATTAACCTCCTGACGCTTCCTTGTGTGTACTTCTAAAGTAATATTCACCAGGAGCCCTGGGAGCACTGCGGGTTAAGCGTTGGGCTGCTAACTGAAAGCTCAGTAGTTCAAACCCTCCAGCCACTCCCTGGGAAAAGGCTAGACCGTGTGCTTCTGTGGAGATTGATGGCCTCGGAGCCCAGGGAGCAGTTAACGGCTGCTCTTCCAGGGTCCTGTGAGGCAGAATCAGCTTCATGGCAGCAGGTTTATTATGATCCTTGGACTTGGTGGCTGTGGGCTCCTTTTTGGGGGGTTGCTCTGTTAGTCTAGAATAGCGTTTAGGAGTTGGGGAATTTCCCACGACACTTTTGAATCGTTTTGAAAACTCAGCGCTGTTGTGAAGGCATTCAAAACATGGAGCACGCAGCCTGTCGTGAAGAGGAAGTGAAATCTTGCACGAGGTTAAACAGGGTGGCGTCTTCATCAAGCATTCGTTTATAGGGCCGTTTGGGTTTTTTCCCATACTGAAATGACTTGCAGGAAATCTTTACTGAACCGAAAGATTATTTCCTGAGTGGAACAGGGTACAAAAAGGTTTACCAAGGGAAATGACAAAAAAAGAGGAAGGGGGGAGTAATGAGAATGCTAGTTTATTAATACTATTAATAACGTGGTTGTGGAAGCACGCTTTCATCATCCAAATAGATCGCAACGAGACGCTTGGTTGTTTCGGTGCACGACTGAGATGAACGCGGCCGGCTACCTGGAAAGCGCCCCCCTCTCCTCTCCTAGGCATTGGGAAAGGGACTTGGGATGTAAAGGTGAATGACCTTTCTCTCACGGGATTCACCAGCTGTGGTTAAGGGTCTTCAAGTCGGTTTCAACTCAAGGTCTCTTTCCACCAATATAGTCCCATGGATTTCTGTGTTTTTCGTCTGACGAGGACTCTGTGTATGGTTGATGTTGATGTTGTTGAAAACAATAGGTGTATGTCCCAAAGAAGTCATTCCTTGGTCTTCTATAAAGTGACCTCCAGCTTGGTGTTTGTCACCAGGGACACTAACGATCCCTTTCTCTTTGTTTCCAACGTTCCTGCTCTGGTCACCAGTAATGACCAGCGCATCTCTATTGCATGTTCCATCAGTTTGAAGTCGCAGACGTTGGTATTAGTCTTCAGTTTCTTTAGCTTGACACTAGCAGATGGCGTGCAAAGTTGAATAACCGTTGCAGTAACGGGCCTTCTTTGCAGACATATGGATCTCACCCTTTCTCTACAGCACCGCATTTCAGAACAGACATGGAAGTGTTCTTTCTGAGGATGTGCGTGCTGCCATTCGTCATGTGTTTGTCAGGCCAGGCAGAGTAGTCCACGCCATTATCTAATTCAAAGGAGTGATACCAATCCCTTTCAGCTCAGTCATACCAGGGCATGGATCTTCAAGCGCTCTAGTTCATCTCTGACGACGTCTACATTTCCCTGTTCGAGATTTCCACTGTTCCACTTACCTATCGATTTTGCCACCATTTCTTTTCATTTTGAGCCATCTCTCTTAAGCAAATGAAGCTTCTGGAAGCTTTGCTCCCTCCACTGTCAGTCATTAAGGTGGGTTTTGCTTTGAGGAGACAGCTCGCCCCCCAAGTTGCAGTCTGAGTGCCTTCCAACCCGCGGGGCTCACCTTCCCGCACTGCATCAGTCCGTGTTCGGCTGCTCTGCGGAAGCTCTCCACTGGCCAATCTACTTTGAAAACAGGTCGCCAGCACCTCCTTCCGGTTCTCTTCAGTCTGGGAGCACCATAGAAACCTGTTCCCCATGGGGACCCTCCTGGTACCTGGATTACTGATGGCAATGCTTCCAGCCTCACAGCAGCACACCAAGTCCCCAGAGCACCACAGATGAACAGGCAGGGGTGGGACAGCAGAGAGGAGTTTGCTCAGGCTTTCTCTATATAATTGATCAGTGGGCAGTGCCTTTCATTTCCATTGTACAGATGCATATGTGCTTTAAGATAGATTAAATTGTGGAGGAGGTGACTGCATTTGTGATTCTCTGAGCGCCGCTTGGTGGCCATGCCATGGCTGGCCATGAGTGTTTGCTGTCTGCTGGGGTGCAGAATTGCTGGCCGCGAGCATGGCATGGATGTGGGAGGGAGTGACCTGGCCGCTGATGGGCCCTGACATTGACGATAAAGCAAAAAGGAAGGATGGCAGGTTGGGGCTGTTCTGTAGGCATTATCAAGGATTTGCTGGATGGCAGTTACATATGAGGCATTGCTCATCTGGCGACAAGCCCCCACCACCCACTGAGCTGGTATCTTAAGACAACACTCAGCCATCATTGTTGGGGAGCCAGGGGCTAGAGTCATGATTACTATGAAATGGCTGTGGAAGTTCTTTTCAATGTGACGAATTTCTCTCTCTCTCCCTCCTCTCTGTAGAAAATGGCTCCGGAGGTTAAATGAAACCGGGCAGACTCGTCGATGCCGCATCGCAGCCCCTTCCGCGGTTCGGGGACGGATCCCAGCGAGGAATTGATCCTCCCCCCACCCCCGGCCCCGGTGACCGGTCAGAATGAAGAAGATCAGTCTGAAAACCTTCCGGAAATCCTTTAACTTGAACAAAAGCAAAGACGACGCTGATTTCATGGTGGTCCCGCAGCGCTCACTGGCCGGCGACTTCGGGAAGGAGGACTCGCTTTTTGGCAGCTGCTACGGGAAAGAGATGGCCAGCAGCGACCTGCAGGGCGACGACGAGAAGAGCGGCAAGGGCCGGGCCAAGAGCGAGAGCCTCATGGGCACCCTCAAGAGGCGGCTGTCGGCCAAGCAGAAGCCCCGGGGCAAGGGTGCTGGCACCTCGGGGGGCACAGCCGACGAGGACACCTTCTCCTCTGCCTCGGCACCCATTGTCTTCAAGGACGCGCGTGCACAGCGGCCCATGCGCTCCACATCGCTGCGCGCCCACCACTACAGCCCCACACCCTGGCCGCTGCGGCCCACCGCCTCGGAGGAGACCTGCGTCAAGGTGGAGGTGCGCGTGAAGGCGCTGGTGCATGCAGCGGGCCCTGGCCCCGCCCTGAACGGTGTGCGCAAGGATCTGCATGCGCCCCCCGAGCCCACAGGGCCCAACCCGACGGGCAGCCCGCACGCTGCCGACCTGCGCTTGCAGCTAGACGACCGCGTGCCCGTTGCGCTCGGCCTGATGTCTCAGGCCTACCTCCAGTACACTGTGCCTTTAGACGACGGGATGTACCCGCTCGAGAGCTCGCCGCCCTTCTGCCTGGACGGCTCCTCGCCCATGGAGGTCTCCGCCGTGCCCGCGCCCGGGGGAGGTGGCACGCTGCCGCCGCCCTCGCCAGACGCCGACTGCGGGGAGTCGGACCTGGGCGCCGGCCGGGGTGCCTTCACCGAGCCGCCTTTGAGTGGCCTACTGGTGGGCACCACAGGCATGCCGCTGCAGAGCCCCTGCGCCGGGCCCGAGGACGTGCCCCCACTCTCCCCCTTGCTACCTCCCATGCAGAGCCATCCGATCCAAAGGAACTTCAGTGGCCTGGCCGGGCCCGACGGCCACTTGCCGGACAGCGTGCGCTGCCACTTGAATTTCGACCCCAACTCCGCACCCGGGGTGGCCAGGGTCTACGACTCGGTGCAGAGCAGTGGGCCACTGGTGGTGACCAGCCTGACAGAGGAGCTCAAGAAGCTGGCCAAGCAGGGCTGGTACTGGGGGCCCATCACCCGCTGGGAGGCCGAGGGGAAGCTGGCCAGCGTGCCCGACGGCTCCTTCCTGGTCCGGGACAGCTCAGACGACAGGTACCTGCTCAGCTTGAGCTTCCGTTCCCACGGCAAGACCTTGCACACGAGGATCGAGCACTCCAACGGCAGGTTCAGCTTCTACGAGCAGCCCGACGTGGAAGGGCACACGTCCATCGTGGACCTCATCGAGCACTCCATCCGGGACTCGGAAAACGGCGCCTTCTGCTACTCCCGGTCGCGCCTGCCCGGCTCGGCCACCTACCCGGTGCGGCTGACCAACCCGGTGTCGCGGTTCATGCAGGTACGCTCGCTGCAGTACCTGTGCCGCTTCGTGATCCGCCAGTACACCCGCATAGACCTGATCCAGAAACTGCCTTTGCCAAACAAAATGAAGGACTATCTGCAGGAGAAGCACTACTGAAAGGCCAAGGGGTGGGGGGCGCGCACCCTGCACTTTGGGCGCGAGAGGACATGATCAAGAAACCGTTTACACACTTTTCCGTCACGCGCCGGGAACTTCTGCTGCCAGCACGATTTCGGTTTTGTGTGTCCGGAGCCCTGCCCCAGACCCGGGGTGGGGAAGTGTGTGCGTGTGTGTGCGCGCGCGCGTGTCGGGCCAGCTACCTTGGTTTTCTTTTCTGTTCTTTCAAAAGGGACGCCTGGAGGTTTGGGGAGCGCGCGTCGGCTTTCCTCCAAGTGCGGAATCATCACAATGTGAACCTTTGCATTCTCCCCAACCCGGCCCCGGCCTGCCCCCTTTGCTGCTATCCACTGTGATTTTTATGCATCAGAAGCACATTTCATGTGTGTCCAGCCCTGTGTAAGGTCGAAGGGAGCGAGCAGAGTGGAAACCGATGCCTCTACCAGCCTCCCTGTCCCTTCTTAGGAAGGTGGCATCGACAAAATTGGCCCCTATCCCCCAAGTCTGCCACCTTGCACCCTTAGAAAGAGTGGGTTAGAAATACGAGTCACCGAGAGGCGGGGGTGGGGGGCTGGGGAAGGCAGACTACACAATTTGTCTTTTCCAAAGCTCATTTCTAAGTCATTGTTTATTTTTAGGTTGTACTGATTTTGGGGGTGGGGGGCTGGTGAGAAGTGGGGTTTTGTTTTTTTCTGTTGCCTTCATGTCCATCTTGTGGCTTGTCTATCTTGAAAAAAAAAAAAATAATAATGGCCTTACATGAAAAATTCTTAAAGAAATGTATACCACCAATGTTGAAAAAGCGTTGCCTTTTCTGCGGTTAAAACTCTGGTACAAATTGGCATACAGATGAAAACCTGTGGAATGAGAGCTGTTATTAAAGACATGCTAGTTGATCAAGGTTTCCTGTGATAGCAAATTTGTGTGTGCTATGTGTGTGTGAGTGTGTTCTCTGTACTTTAGTGAAAACTCTTCTCCGAATCCTCTAGCCCCAGGCGACACTTTCTAGAGTAGAACTTGATCACACAAGTCATTTTCATAAAGGAACTGGATTCTGGTGCAGAATGGAAGCTTATAGGAAGTTCTCCAATGATGAGCTTAAAAAGCAAGGCTCCTCTCTTGAGTTGACCGGGTAGTATGCTTTTCTGTAGTCACCTTTAACAACGTGCTAGATTTGACCCCACCTAGCTGCAAGGTCCCTACCCCACCCCCATGGTTCTAGTTGAACATTTTTCAGTGTGGAGCTAGATCCGATGTATGAAAAATATTAAAACCACACCAGGTCTATAGGAATCTTGCTGCGTAACACACTGCCATTTTAAAAGTTTTTTTTGTTTTATAGCTAAATTCCAGGTAGTTTGGCATCATTTGTTCATCCTTTTCTAAGAACCAATTGAGGTTTGTGTAAGGGGGGTGGCGTGACTAGTGCCCCTGGTAAATACTGGGTTTGAAAACCTGAGGGTTTGTTCCTTGCACAACACTTCCTGGTAGCATTTGAGGCTATGTGGGTGTAGACAATGTTTCCAGTTATCTAGCTCTAAAGGGAAGTGTTTCCATTTCAGATGAAACATGTAATCTCAGCTGTTTCTTCCCTGTCTCTTGGCAGTTCCTATTCCCCCACCCCCATTTTTGAACCCAAAGACAAAGGATCTGAGGCCAAGTGGACATTCAAACATTTTTGCACCCCGCCCCCACCCCCAATCTTTGTTGCTTTCAGGGGCAGAACCGTGCAGTGCCATACCTACCAGGGTGAGGTGACTTCCAGGGGAAGATGTACTTGGTTTGAGTGGGTTCTTGATTGGACCTCATTTCAAAGGCTTTGCCCCTTTCAAACAATGGAATGTAGAGGGAGCTGTAATAATATAGAGGGTCCCTATAAGCTATTTGGATCAAGGACTATTACAGAGCTGTAAAACTTGTTATCAAATTTAGTGCATTTAAGATATTTGAGCTTTACATTTTTAATTTTTTTGCGAAACCATTTCAACAATAAAAAATGTGTCTAGGGTGAGTGAAGAGACCCTGGGTGTCTATATTAAATGGCAGGTATTTTCCAGAGAATCACTATATGAATAATAAGTGTTGACATGGCTTTCCCACAGTTCTAGAATTATCTAAATCTCCACTTTGTGAAGCCTTGGCACAACAAGCTCCCAGGGCCGCCCCCGGACTGCACTTTATCACACAAAGGGGCACAGCCCAATGGCAGCCTTTCCTTGAGGATGCCACGTGCCCAGCATGGAGTCTTCCATGTCCTGATGGTTCCTGCTTCCAGCTCAATAGTTTAAAGTTGATTTTTTTGTTTTTTATTTTGCAGGGCAGGTTTTGATAAACTGAGTAAGCCATTTTTAAAAAGCATTTTCCGTATCTCCAGAATAAAAACTATTTCATGTGCCCTGTTAGAATCTGATCTGAAATTGTTAGGATCTGATAATGTAGGCAGAAAAAGATAATAGCATTTGCCCAGAAATGAATTAAATTTAAGAAGTGGGGGGTGGGAGGGAGAGAGCATTGAAATATTGCCTGCTTTGGACTTTCTGCCAAGAGCCATTGGAGAGTACATCCTTCTTGGGCCACACCAGTCAGACAGTTAATGAACTCATTCCCAATGTGGTGCTTGGAACGGCTTCTCTTTGATGAGACACGTGATGTTGGCTGGTATTGATTTCATGGGCCTCATAGCCCAGGGGGCCGGATGTTCCCTACCCCTGTAGAGGGATTGTGGTGCACAGATGGTCACCTCGGGGAAGACCAGCTGCCCTGTAGCCTGCTGGAAGTGCCGTTTGAACAGAAAGAGAAGGGAGGCCATCTCCATCCTTCAGATTGGTCTAGAGCAGCAGTTCTCAACGTGTGAGTCTAGACCTCTTTGGAGGTGGAATGACCCTTTTACAGGGGTCTCCCAATTCATAACAGTAGCAAAATTACAGTGGTGAAGTATCAACGAAAATAATTTTATGGTTGGGGTTCACCACAACATGAGGAGCTGTATTAAAGTGTTGCGGCATTAGGAAGGTTGAGAACCACTGGTCTAGAGGCAATTTGATTGAGATTTGCAATTGGGTCAAATGGTGACTTAGATGACGTATGGACAGACTGCTTGTGATTTTAAATATGTGCTTTTAAAAACATCCGAACTCAAGGAAAGGAATGAGGAGGTAAACAGGGAAGCTCTACCAATCACTTTGCTATCAGAGATGGCCCGGAGCTGCATTCCTCAAATGTTTCCTCATAAGACACCGGAGATGAGAAGCTATTCTCAGGCTTACCGGAGCACTCTTAGGCATTTTAAACAAATAATTATACTCTAGGAAGTACTTGAAATTTTTTCTTCCTGACTCCCTCTCTCTAAGAGAAACTCTTCTCTTGCTCTTTGGTGCAATAATCTGAAATCCTGGACGATCAGAACTACTGATCACAGGAAATGATCCCAGAACAACCATCTTGCCTAAGGTGACCAGACTTTAACATTGGTAAAGCGGGACAAAAGCGGGAAACCACTGATAAAATTCATCTCCTGGCGAAATAGCCAAATGGCAGCCAAAAACCATATACCCTACCTAGCTTGTGCATTCTTTCCAAAAATTGGGACTTTTTAAAACGCCGCAGGAAGCGGGAAAAATTATTAAAAATCAGGACTGTCCCGCCAAAAGTGGGACGTCTGGTCACCTTAGTCTTGCCCCTTCAGAAGATGACACAAGACAAGGTTTCCACTGTCATTCCTGAGCCTGTATTCACGTAACAGGATACATTGGACCTTTGATTGCATGCGGCATATGTGGCACAGTGCTTTTAAAGTCGACCTCGTTTGTTGATCCCTTTAGGAATGCCCTTGTTCGTTATTTCACACCCCACACTGGAGGGTAAGAGAGAGCTGTGTGGGTCAAGGAGTACTTTCTCACTCAAACGTGAAATTCATAATTCAAACATGAAACCACACTACCAGCCACAGTGAGTTTTGTTAAGCAACCCCCAGTCCCATAAGGCAACTCAAAAACTCTAAAGGACACTATACTAGTACTCTCAGAAGTCAGTCACAACTCCGGTTTCTTTTGGTCACTTTTTGAATCCTCTAAAGAAGGTTTTTTTGTTTGTTTGTTTTTAAATGAACATCCTTTGTATTAGTCACTCAACCTGGCAGGTGCTGTTTCTGAAAAGAATTCCAAACCCTCCCTCCAGAGAGGGTGAGGCATTCTTACAGAATCTTGTACCGAGTACACATGTTGGGTTTAAGGCGTTTTCTAGCCCTGTCGGCGCTCCATGGAATGAACACTCCAGTCCCGGTTACAGTAGTTTACAGTTCTGTGTGTCTCATCAAGTGTGTGTCCTGTTTGTTCTCCGATCACCACAGAGTGAATGATCCAAAGTCCATTTATTTTAAATATGTGTTTTGGTTTGTAAACAAATGATAGTAATTTCTTGCACTCTTTTGGAAATTAATTGTATAAGAGTTTTATGTATCTGCTTCTAGATACAATGTAAATAAAAGTTCCCGTTCACAAAGTCCACCTTGTAGTCTATTTAATAAGCCCCATACAGAGCGGTTTCCAGGCTGTAGCTCTCTACTGGAGCAGACTGCCACGTCTCTCTCCTGTAGAGCACCTGCTCCGTTTGAACCACTGACAGGTCAGCAAACTGTCAAACACTCAAACCTGACATCGTCAGAGCTCAGGTTTTTATTGAGCTGGAGTCAGCTGGGGAATTTGTGTGTGTCCCAGAGACAGGTCAGAGCCTGGAGGAAGAGGAGGTGAGCAGCAGATTTTGGTGATATGGGGAATGGCGTTGATACAGTTTTGCCTTTGAATCGGTTCTGAATCATAGCGACCCTGTGTATGACAGAACAAAACACAGCCTTGTCCTGTGCCCTCCTCACAATTGTTCCTATGCTTGAGCCCATTGTTGTAACCATGGTGTCAGTCCATCTCTTTGAAGACCTTCCTATTTTTCACTGCCCCTCCATTTTACCAAGCATGATTTCCCTCTCCAGGGACTGGTCTCTCCTGACATGTCCAAGGTATGTAAGACAGTCTCACCCTCTTTGCTTCTGAGGAGCATTTTGCCTGGAAGTCTTCCAAGACTTATTTGTTGGTGATTTGGGCAGCCCATGGTACTTTCAATGTTTATCACCAGCACAATTCAGATGCATCAATTTGCCTTCAGTATTCTGTATTTAATGTACAACTGTCTCATGCCTATGAGGCAGATGAAAATACCATGGCTTGGGCAAAGCCCACCGTAGTCCTCAAAGTAACATCCTTGCTTTTCAACACTTCAGTGAGGTCTTGGGTCATTGGGTCTCTTCACTGCTGTTCCATGAGCGTTGATTGTGGACCAAGCACGAGGAAATTCATAACAACTCCAATCCTTTCTCCGTCTATTGCTTCAGCTCTCAACCTGTGGGTCTTGACCCCTTTGGGAGTCAAACAACCCTTTCACAGGGGTCGCCGATTCATAACAGCAGCAAAATTATAGTTACAGAGTATCAGTGAAAATAATTTTATGGCTAGGGAGTCACCACCACATGAGGAACTGAATTAAAGGATCGCAGCATTAGGAAGGTTGAGAACCACTGGGCTGTTGTGGTGTGACCTGTTGGTCCAGTTGTGAGGATTTTGGTCCTCTGTATTACGTTGTAATCCACACTGAAGCCTGCAATCCTTGATCTTCAACAAGTACTTCCCGTCCTCCTTACTTTTAGCAATCAAGGTTATGTCATCTGCATACTGCAGGCTTTTCATCATGGGAGGTGCCAAGCAAATAAGGAATCTGTCAGTGCTGCTAGTAATTAGAAATCCTTTCATTGTGAAGGATAGAGTGAGTTGGGTCATCTAGTAATTGAAGAGGCTTAGGGAGCAGAAACCAGCCTGGTCATGGGTTCTCCCTCATTTGGATTACCCTCTACTC